ATCCAACGTATCTATCCCTACTTGAGTTGAAACAACCCACTCCAACTTTTTACAGCGCAGTTGAGAAGAGGCCGGTTCGATCCCCGACAATATGTTGGGTTTGATCGCATTTTGAGGCGCCTCAAAAATGGGTCTGATCGCATTTTGAGGCGCCTCAAAAATGGGTTTGATCGCATTTTGAGGCGCCTCAAAAATGGGTTTGATCGCATAGCCACTATTACTTTCCTCCGTCCCATCCCATCAACCCTCGCATTGCAATCCCCCACCCCTGCTTCTCTTGCACCCTGTCTACCCTATGTGCCCGATCTTCCCACATCAGAGCTGGACGGTATACTGGAGGGGCTGCCCATGCCGGTCATGCCGCCATGCACCATTCGCATTGCCACTTTTCTTCCCCTTATTTCCATCCACCCATCTAATTGCACTGTCTTCCCTGCATATCCTACAGAGCTGGATGGCATACTGGAGGGGCTGCCCATGCCTGTCATGCCCCCGTGCACCACGCGCATTGCAGCCATGCAGAGGAGAGTGCACGCGCTCACCTCCTCGCTCTCACGCATCCACGTACGCTTCACTCTGCCGTCTGTCTGGCCTGTCATGTGTCTCACCTCCTCCTGCTTTGCTGCGGCCATGCAGAGGAGAGTGCACAACATTCTCATACATACCCCCAACATACCCCAACATACCCATACATACCCCCAACATACCCCAACATACCCATACATACCCCCAACATACCCCAACATACCCATACATACCGCCAACATACCCCAACATACCCATACATACCCCCACATACCCCAACATACCCATACATACCCCCACATACCCCCACATACTCGTGTTCGCTCTCCGGTTCTGTTTCCACCAGACCCGCATCGAGACAATGAGGAGGGACCTTCCATGTGCTCTGCTCCATGTTTCATATCACCTCTGATTTCTGTTGCATACATTGCCCCATTTCCCACATCATACCCCTACATAAATTACCCCATCGCTCACATCGCCCAGATCATACCCCTACATAAATTACCCCATCGCTCACATCGCCCACATCATACCCCTACATACATTACCCCATCGCTTGCATCGCCCACATCATACCCCTACATACATTACCCCGTTGCCCTCTTGCTCTGTTCCCACCAGACCCGCATCGAGACAATGAAGAGGGACCTCCGCTTTCGCAGCACATGCAGGGAACAACAATCAGATAAGACAGATCATGCCGCCCAGCAAGAGCAGCAGCAGCAACAACAGCACCATCATGGCCTGCCTTTGCTGCCCTCTCTTGCATGTACGCCGCACATCTCACATCACACGTATGCCATCTCACATCACGTGATAAAAGAGATGTTTTGAGACGCCTCAAAACGCCGCACATCTCACATCACATACACGCCATCTCACATCTATGCCATCTCACATGCACACCATCTCACATCTATGCCATCTCACATGCACGCCACCTCACATCCATGCCATCTCACATGCACGCCACCTCACATGCACGCCCCACACCTGTCACGCACCCTCACTTGCATTGGATATTTTGCCATTGTTTTTTCGCCCATCAACTCAAGTTTCCCCTCCAAAAGCTTTGTTGCGGTTGCCATTTGATTTGCTCTTTCTTCGCCAGTATCACCCCAACCTCTCGCTGTCTTTTTCATTCAGTTTCTGAAGCAATCTTCTTCGTTCTCCAATTGCCCCTTCCCATACATTTCACTCCTAACATTCACTCCCAACTCTCTCCTCTTTGTCCTTTCCCCTCCACATCGCTCCCTCTTCCCGTCTGCCCCCGCACAACCCCTACTTCCCACCTTCCTTCCGTTGCCCCCCTCCCAGCGCTCGCCCAATCATCTGTGTTCACGCCATCAACTCTCTTTGCGACTGTTCCAATTGTCTCACCTTCTTTTGTGGGCCCTTCCTTCCCTCTCCCTGTCTGCCTCCGCACAACCCCTACTTTCCCACCCTCCCTTTGTCCCCCCCCCCAGCGCTTGCCCAGTCATCTGTGTTCACGCCATCAGCACTCTTCGCAACTGTTCAAAGTGCTTCATCATCATCATCATCATCATCATCCTCCGGCCCTTCCCTCACACCTATGGACCCATCAATAGCAAGAGAACCCTCTCCGCCTCTCCCTCCCATCCTCGCTCCTCGTGCCGTTTCCCCTCCCTCCCGCTCTAGAAGAGTGACACATTAGACTTGGAAAGTTGTCTGTGAAGTATTTCATGTTGCGCTACTTATTGTACCGGTAATTGCAAACATGCGGCTGCTTGCTAAGGCAAGCATCGCATCTGCCAAGCACTTTCTCTTCACCAGCATTGATTATCTTTATGCTTGTACATAATTATATTGTCTGCATATTTAGTGTAAGAACATAATTACCATTATTTGGTTATTCGTGGTTATTGAAAAACACAATTCAACTACACTTAATACCGAGTGGTCTTTTTTTTTATATCATATACATTACAGGAATGTACAGACATCGGCAGTCGTAACTGGAATACCGAGTGGTCTATATCGAGTGTAAATCCAGCACTGGCAAGGCGCACGACCATCATGGTGCTCCCACGTGGACAAAATTGCTGACTGGACACCTCCATGTGGCTGCTACTTCTGATTGGCTGGCGTGATTGCCCCTTGCTGGGCAAGAGGGACGAAGAGTTTGTTTCGCTCAGTCACGTTTGGTGGTTCTTCGCAACTCTTCGTGCGAACCTGTAGACCTCGTGCTGCTCAGTCACGTTTCGTGGTTCTTCGCAACTCTTCATGCGAACCTGTAGACCTCATGCGAACCTGTAGACCTCGCGACATTGTCAGCATTACCCGGTAGCACCTCCGTTGTTCCCTCATTCTTCTCTCCTTCCAAAAAGTCAGCTTTCCTTTTCAGGCATGTTAAACGTACGATTGCGGTTGACAATGGTTTTCCGCATGTTAACGCGTTATGAACAATGTTTTGATCGGTTACAACAGAGTCAGAACAAAAACCATCATCTGGGGCACGTCCTTACAATCACTGCTTCACTCACAGCATTTTCCTTCGGCGGTGCTTCAAGTATCCAGTGCTTACTAGAGGTCCAGCCCTAACACTCGTCAAACACTCGTCTCTTTTAGGTTCTGCAGTTTCGGACTTTGGTTCCGAATTTTATCGCCATGGCCTCGCAAGCAGTGTGCCTATCGAGAGCCTCAGTGCCGTCCGTCTGTCTATCAGGCAGCGGCTCGTCGTCGTTCTGTAGATCGGACAGGGCGACGTTGATGCGAGTCCACGGCTCGGATGTGGCCGTCAGCTCGACTGCTAGAGTGGTCGCGTCGCAATCCCGCCGTAAGTGTTGGAAGCTAATGTCGTGTGGCATTTCTAGCCGGAGTGTCCATAAGGGAACAGCGCATCTGCATTCTGACGTTTCAATCGTCCCAAAAGTCACCTCGTTGCAATATCGTCACGGTTTGTGTGAGTGATAGTCCGCGTCTTCATCAGGTAGCGGCCCGTCTGCATTCTGTGGATCGCCGTATGTAGATCGGATAGTTCCCCATCATTCAGAATCAATAGCTGTTGGGGGTCAACGGCTCGGATATAAGTCTTTGCGGAGCACATTTGTGACTCGCGGCCTCGATTCCCAGCCTGAGCATCCAATGCGGGTGTTCAAAAGTCAAAATGAACAAACAAATGAAGAATCGCGTCGCTCAGTGCTCCTTTTAACAAGTCTATGCTTGCATGCAGATCACTAATTTCGACTTCTGAAACGAAATCCAGAGAGCTGGTTAGGTGTACGAGTCGCCTCGTTATGTGGCTTCGCGTCGCACGACCAGTTGGCACTAACGAATCGCGACAACTGATAGTCACGAATAGTCTCTAAACCTTCGTCGCTTTCAGACTGCAAGCGACGATCTTTCTTCGCTGCAGGTACTAGTCCTCCTGCTAGTGGAAGCAACGTAACCAGTGTAACGAATGTAACCAAGTGGCGAAAAGGGGTTAAAGATCATGGACATTTGACAAGCTAAGTGGTTTCAGGAGCGATGCTCCAAGCGCTGTGGTCTCACTGAACGGACAGCACCTGTTTGCGGTCCATCCTTGCATGTACTTGCCGACCGTCAAGACGGCCACCGGCCCCGTCGTGATTACGAACTGATGACCCGCTAGCCGGTTGTGTGGAACACCAAGACGACAACAAGGCGGCAGTCGTTCCCGTCCCTCCTCGCGTCCCGTGTGTGTGCGTATTTTTCCTCCCTTCGCGGGCCCGATTTACGGGAGAAAAATCTGCGCGTGCGTCAAGATCGCATCATGCGCATGGTGAAAGATCGCATCGTCCTGTTCAGAACGGAATAGCATGAGAAGCAAATTGATCAGCTAATGAAATCTCTCTGACAGCAAATCGACGGTTTCCACCCATCGTCCCTCCCTCACGTGTCTTCCCCTCCCCGGGGATCCTCCTCACCTTTACCAGCCGGGGGCAGGGCGAGCGGGCACAAACTTTCGAGGCAATATTAAGAAATTTGAGAGGCACATTCAAAACTTTGAGGTGCCTAGAAAGGCTAAGCGAGGATGAAGTGGGTCGCATGTGTCTTTTTGAACGTGAAGTGACTTTCTGAGTCAGGCCAAAAGTCCACTCAACCGCCGCCCCCTTCCCTCCTACGTGTATATCTGCCTCGCCAAACTCATGTGTATCCATTCCCTACGCGAGTTCCTTTCACCCTCGCCAGCGGGCGGCAGGGCGAGCATGAAGACAGCTCAAGGCGCCGTGGTGTTCCGAACGGACGACCCATGAGCCGGTTGCGACTACCGCCCGCCCATGCCCGGGGACAACCCGCTAGCTGGCTGTACCAGGCAACAGCAAGCCCACAATTTCCACCGCCCCTCCGTCCCTCCCCCTGTGTGTGTTTTCCCTCTCTCCCCGCACCCCCCTCACCAGCGGGCGGCAGGGCGAGCATGAAGAAGGCTCAAGGCGCTGTTGTCTTCCGAACGGACCACCCGCTAGCTGGCCGCGACTACCGCCCCGCCCATGACTCTACTTGCTTTCCCCCCGCCCCCCCCCTCTCCCCTCCCTTCAACAGCGGGCGGCAGGGCGAGCATGAAGAAGGCTCAAGGCGCAGTGGTCTTCCGAACAGACGACCCGCTAGCTGGCCGCGACTACCGCCCGCCCATGCCTGGGGACAACCCCGACTTCTGGGAAGGTTCCCAGTGGGACCTGCTGGGGTTTGTTGCAGAGTACCTGTGGGTGTTCGGCATCGTGCTGGCGGTGAGTGCTCCTGACACCCTCTCTTTGAGTTCTCTTTGGGCTGTATATGCGCACTAACTGATAGTAGTGGGACAAGTCGATTTTTGAGTCAACTAAAAGATTGACTTATCACACAACCCCCCCCTCCCCCCTCCTGTGTACGCTAACTGATAGTAGTGGGACCTGCTGAGTACCCCACTACCCCACCTCCCCTCTCATCTCATCCCCATTTTTCCTCACATACCCTCGCTGTTTAGTTCATCCACTCACACCCACACCCACACCCACACCCACACCCACATGCACACGCACACGCACACCCACACCCACACCCACACCCACACCCACACCCACACAGTCACACCCACGCCCTCGCCCACACCTCACTGCCCTTATGACTTGCTATCCTGCAAAACCCTTCTACCACAACGCCGCCCCAAGCTTCAATCACGATCATGAAGTGGTGGAGGCAGCAGCATCAGACTCGGCAGCTACTGCGTGGAATTATCTTTGGCCTGCCCTCATGGTTCACTCACTGCCCTTGTTTCCCATTTGATCCTACAGATCGTTTCATCACTCTACGCCGTTACGAGCTACAACCAAGACGAGGAAGCGGGGGAGCCAACAGACTCGGCCGTGATTGTGGAGTCATCATCTAATTATCCATCACGATTCACCATTTACTGCCCTTGTTTCCCCGTCTGACCTTGCAGATCGTTTCATCACTCTACGCCGTTACAAGCTACAACCAAGACGAGGAAGTGGTGGGGACCGGCAGTGACTGTGGGAATGATTGACAGACCTTCAATCATCTGATGTATTCTGTGCTTCCCTCCTGCAGATCGTTTCATCGCTCTACGCCGTTACGAGCTACAACCAAGACGAGGAGGTGGTGGAGCCAACAGACTCGGCCGTTATTGTGGAGTCATCTGCACCGTCGGAAGCTGATCAGCTGCTTGAGCCATTTGTCGACGATGCTCCTCCCCTGTAGATGCGGAATAGAAGGTGTACTGACATTCCAACAATTTTGTTTCCTACCTTAAAGAGCAGGCGCGGCTGGGCTGTTGCTGTGGAATCATCTGCACCGTCAGAAGCTGATCAGCTGCTTGAGCCATTCGTTGACGATGCCCTCCCCCCTGTAGGTGCGGAATGAATAACTGTATGTCAGTTAGAAAGGAAACGTGAAGTGTACTGGCAGTAGTCCAACATTACTGGAAGCTGAGCCAACCAATTAGCTGCTTGGGCCTTTCGTTTCCAGGCGGTGGTCTTCCTTGTAGGTGCGGAGTAAAGTGTATTTCTGTCCAACAAATCATGTAACAAATGCACACTTGCGTGCAACATGCATGTGTTCTACACTTTCCTTCACAAATATACCAGCTCAAAGCAGTAGAAGGTGCCCATTGATTTATCAACAGCAGGTCTGTGGTAAGTGGCTTTCAAAAACCAGGTAGGTTCCATCATCCATAGGGCTGGCCTGTGTAGGCCTGGCACAGCTAAACACCACAAGCACTCGCTCAGCAGCAACTTCAGCATATCAAGCATATTGGTTCTGCAATACCGTAAGTGTCAACAACAGCCATGTGCAAACAAAAGCAGGCACCTCAATTAGGTAACGGTGCCCCTTTTCTGTGCTTCCTTGCCGAACATGTCAGAAACACGGTAGAACTACAATAAGAAACACCCACACATCGACTCGTCTGTCCCCACGAGCTTGTTACTTAAACATACCGTATGACTGTGGTAGCCTTTCCTGCAAATGCACGTGCGCCGTCAATCATGCAAGCAGCCAAGCAAAACAAAAAGCCATGGTGATGGCAGTGGCAAGGTAGCCTGCCAAAGAGAGAATCATGGCAAGAAACAGTTATCACCAGTACCCCCAATAGCACTCACAGCACAGGAGGAAGTGAAGGACGAAAAAATACTTCGAAAACAGAAAAACATGAAGGGAAAAAAGAACAGTGGTGTGATAAGAATCACTGCAGTTTACTGTACCAAGCTTGAATGGAGAGGTGGACGCATCTTTCTTTGCAGGATAATAGTCCCAAGTGCGATAGACCATGCCCATGCCAGCGTAGGTGCCATTCCTCCCCACAGTCACCGAACCATCCGCGTTTGTAACAGGTGGAACCGACTTCGCGATAAGATCCGTGACGGTGTCATTTGCGTAAAAAACCGTATTGCAAAAAACGGTCGAACCGTCAGAACGTTTTGCGAAGACCAAACCGTTGGGACCAACAAGTGTATGGTTAGGGTAGGAAGTGTAGCTTCCTAGGGTTTCATGTCAGAATGTGATGTTTGTCTAGCCTGCAGTGGGATACTCTATAGCTGTCAAACATATCCATATGTTATATTTGTGGGTAGGCTGTAATTGGGTAGATACTGTGGGGTATAACCCCTTAGGGTTTCCTCCTTGTACCAATTCTCTCGATACTGAACTCCATTCATGCCTAGCTTCTAAGATGGTATCTAGAGCATAGGTCTTTAGGACCTAAGTTTAGGGCCCACCGGTTACCACATTACCTCACCTACGGCCTTGCCTGCCTGCCTGCCTTGTCTGCTGCTTGCGCGCGGCCCTTTTTTTTTTCCCGCGCGCGCCACTTAAGCAGCCCGCGCGCAGCCCGTTTTCGGCCCCGCGCGCCACGTCAGCCGCCCGCACAGCCTGCCGCCGGCCCGCGCGCCGCGTAAGCCGCCCACGCGCAGCCCGCTTAGGCCCTGCACGCCGCGTCCGCTGCCCGCGTAGCCCGCTTTCGGCCCCGCGCGCCGTGTCAGCCGCCCGCGCAGCCTGCAGCAGGCCCGCGCGCCGCGTCAACCGCCTGTGCAGCCCGCTGCTGCCCCGCGCGTCGCCTCCTCCGGTCGCGCAGCCCGCACCTGCTCTGCGCGCTGCCTTTAGGAGCCAGCGCGCGGTCTACTGCTGCACCGTGCGCCGCCTTAGGAGCCCGCGTGCGGCCCGCTGCTGCACCGCGCGCCGCTTTAGAGGCCCACGCGCGGCCCACTGCTGCCCTCCGTGCTGCCTTAGGAGTCCGTGCACCGCCACTGCAGTCCGTGCGCCGCCACTGCAGCCTTGCACGCAATCTCTCCTTGCTTGCCTTTTGCCTTGCCGCCTGCGCACTAGGCTTGCCTACGCTGCACGCATGGCGACTCTCAACGTGCTCGCGTTCGATCCGGACGGTCGCCCAGTAGAGTTTACCACCTGGCTTGACGACCTGCAACTGTTCCTTCTGACTAATGCCAAGGACAGTGTTTCCCTGTTCGATTACGTATCTGGCAATGCCGTTGCTCCTGCTGACACTGAGCCTGCTCTAGACCGCTCCCAGTGGCAGACCCGCGATGCTGCTGCGCGCCTCGCTATTTGCAACCATCTTCCGATCACAGAGCGCGCGCATTTTAGCCAGCACAAGACTGCCAAGGCGCTGTACGACGCTGTAGTTGCCCGCTACTCTTCCCCGGCCACTGCAGACCTCAGTCGACTTATGCTACCCTACCTGTTCCCCGACCTGTCCTCGTTTACCACCGCTAAGGACCTCATCTCTCACCTACGCGCTAGTGACACTCGCCTTCGTGCCACCCTTCCAGACGAGTTCGTCGCGGAGAACCACCCCCCGATGTACTTTACTCTCTACTTCCTCATCACCCGCCTCCCTGACACTCTTCGCTCAGTCAGGGACCACTTCCTCGCCCTTGACCCCTATTCTCTCACTGTCGACGACCTCGAGAAGCACCTCCTAGCAGTCGAGAAGAACATTCTAGCTGTAGGTGCTGCTTGTGGCACTCCCCGCACTCCCCTCTTTGAGGGGTGCTCCCCCTCCCCTCTCACCCCCTCCTACGCCTCCGCAGCTGCTTCTGTCGACCTCCTTGGTGCTGAGAAGGTCGCAGCTGCTTCCGCTCCGAGTGGGAAGCGCAGCGGCTTCAAGGGAGGCAAGGGTGGCAGGGGTGGCGGACGTGGCGGTGGAGGGGGCGGTGGTGGAGGCGGCGGGGGCGGTGGAGGTGGTGGCGGTGGTCGTGAGGGGTGGAGGTAGTGGTGGGGGCGGTGGTGGTGCCGGGAGCGGTGGCGGTGGCAGCGGCGGTGGTGGCGGAGTGGGGAGTGGTGGTGGCGGCGGTGGTGGGGGCTTGGGTGAGGCCAATGGTGGCCAGGGACAACAGCCGCAGCAGCAGCAGCAGCAGCCGCAGCAGCGTCAGCGCCAGACCCCCACTTCTCAGCAGCTTCATGACTGGTATGCCGGGCGTGGGGCGTCTAGGGCTCCTGGTCGCTGCCCCTACATCATTCGCGTAGGTCCCCGCGCTGGTCGCCAGTGCACCGGCTTTCACACTGAGTACCACTATTTCGCTCAGCTTAGCGACGCCTGGCGTGTCAAGTTTCCTAATGCTACTGAGTTCCCAAACTGGGCAGACCTGCTTAGTCGTGATGTACCTATCTTTGATCTTGACTATGAGGCTATTCTTGCTGCCATGTATGCATTGACTGTTAGTGCTGAGGGTGACTGCTACTTGTGTGTGCCGCCTGACCCCGGTATAGCCCAGGTATAGCGCCTGTGGCACTAGGTGCTTGTGAGTCTGCTCCCCCTAGTACTGCGTCCGCACAGGCCTTGCACACCTTCACACTTGACTCTGGTGCTTCCCGCTGTTTCTTTCGCGATAGCACCACAGTCACTCCCCTCCCTGCACCTGTTCCTGTCTCACTGGCTGACCCCTCTGGGGGCCCAGTGCTTGCACGGTCTTCCACTGTGCTTCCGTGTCCGGCGGTCCCGTCTGGTGAGCTGCCTGGTCTCCACCTCCCCTCGTTCTCTACGAACTTGGTGAGCAACGCCGTCCTTCAGGATCACTGGGTTGACACCTGTACTCCTGGAGGACAGCGTGTGGCGATCTGCACGTGCTCCCGGACCGTCCGTCACCTGGCCACGTTCACACGTGTCCCTGGGTCCAGTCTGTACACCCTCACCACTGCGTCGCGCTCCACCCCTTTGTCTCCCCAGCTGTACGCGTGTGCTAAGGTAGCTACCCAGTGTGAGTGTCGCCGACTGACGCACGACACTCTCCTGTGGCACCACCGCCTTGGTCCCCCCTCCCTGCCTCGCCTTCGTAACATGCACTCTCGCTTCCTGGTCTCTAGCCTTCCCAGGTCTCTGCCTGCCCTCCCTCCCTTGCCTGCGCCGCCCTGCATTCCTTGCGTCGAGGGGCGGCAGCGCGCCGCTCCTCAATCCTCCTCGTTCCCTCCCACAGAGGCTCCACTGCAGACTCTCCACGTGGACGTGTGGGGCCCAGCCCGCGTCCGTGGACAGGGCGACGAGCGGTACTTCCTGCTGGTCGTCGACGACTACACGCGTTACACCACAGTGTTTTGCTTGCAGCGCAAGGGGGAGGTCCCTGATGTTTTGATCCCCTGGATCCGCGCTGTTCGTCTCCGCTCCGCGAGCGGTTCCACTCGGACTTTCCTGTCCTGCGTCTGCACTTTGACAGGGGTGGTGAGTTCTCCTCAGACCTCTTGGCGGGCTTCTGTGCGGAGCACGGCATCCGCCAGACGTTCACGCTTCCGGCCTCTCCGCAGCAGAATGAGATTGCTGAGCGCCGCATTGGCTTAGTCATGGAGGTCGCTCGTACCTCCATGATCCATGCGGCTGCCCCCCATTTTCTGTGGCCGTTTGCGGTCCGGTACGCTGCGCATCAGCTCAACCCCTGGCCCCGTGTCTCCTTGCCGGAGACCTCGCCCACACTGCTGTGGACGGGGAAGGTTGGCGATGCATCACATTTCTGAGTCTGGGATGCTCGTGCCTTTGTCCACGATACCACCGCGGACAAGCTTTCCGCTCGCGCCATTCCCTGCATCTTCCTTGGCTTGGTCCTTGACGCGCCTTGCTGACAGTTTTACGACCCCGCCTCGCGCCGTGTCTTTCCGTCTCAGGACGTCACCTTTGACGAGTCCGTCCCCTTTTACCGTCTCTTTCCCTACCGCACTGCCCCTCGACCCCCCCCACCCGCCGCTCTTTCTCGCCCCAG